GGGGGGCCCAGCAGGCTGCCCACTGCTGCCCAGCCCCTAGTTAGTGAAGTATTAGGCAACATAGTACTAGCATAAGTCTTTGAATCCAGAAGTCAAATATTGGCTGACTTGGGAAACTTGTCTTGTGCTTCTTTCGGGAGTTGGGGGAATCTGAGATACCACAATACCTAAAACCGTGTCGACTCCAGTTAGAGCAGAATCTGACCCAGAAGCTTTTAAGTTTGGAATTTTTTTCTTTTTACATAATTACATATTAATATTCCCAGTCAGGATCGGAGGCTTATATAATGTGTTTCCCCTCCTCAATTTTTTTTTGTTCCCCAGCTATTACTGCCTTGAAAGAGCAGATTGGTTGGAGGTACAGTCTCCTATTTGTTGGTATGCTACAGTTAAACATTGTCATCTGTGGATCGCTGCTGCGACCTATTATAATCAAAGCGCAAGAAGTAGCAAAAGTATTGCCAATAGAAGAGCAAACGGAAACAAAGTACATGCTTGAAAACGAGCAAACATGCACCTCAATAGAGTCCTTCGACTCAGGAGTAGAAGTAACTACCTCACCTTGCAACGTGCCTGGAAATGCCAAAACGGAGCTGAAAAGTAAAGAACCAAAGGAAACGGTCCAGATGCTTGTCGACGCTAGCAGCTCCCCTGAAGAACCAAAAACCAAACTACAGCTACTGGACTTTTCCGTGATGAAAGACTGTAGCTTTATTTGTTACGCACTCTTCGGTCTCTTTGCCACTCTGGGCTTCTTTGCCCCCTCGCTGTACATCATTCCTCTTGGTCTCAGCCTTGGCATTGACAAGGACCATTCAGCCTATATATTATCTGCCATGGCCATTGCCGAAGTCTTTGGAAGAATTGGTGCTGGCTGGGTCCTCAACAAAAAGCCTATCCGCAAGATTTACATTGAACTCATCTGTGTCATTCTGCTGTCCATTGCTCTGTTGGCATTCCCATTTGCCTATGAATTCTGGGGACTGATGATGTGTAGCATTTTTTTCGGGTTCATGCTTGGGACCGTAGCAGGCACACACATTCCTCTGTTAGCCGAAGATGATGTAGCTGGCATTGAGAAGATGTCTTCTGCAGCAGGAGTGTATGTGTTTATTCAGAGCTTATCTGGGTTGGCTGGACCACCCCTGGCAGGTAACTTTTTTTTTTTTTCTTTTGGTAGCTATAATAGCAATTACTATTATTGATGCCTTTTTTACTTTAACTGTGCTGTAGTGAGTTCAGTGTGGTCGGGGCTCTGTGTCAGCCCGCAGAGCAGGCTGATGCTAAGTAGCATCCCGAGCAGCCCTCCCAAGCTGGAAAGGAAAGTTGCTGCAATGCAGGGATCTAGCTTTCAGTGTCCTGGAAATGAGGCAGCTTCTACAGAGGAGCCTCAGAGGAAAGCAGAAATACTGCAGTGCTACCCTGCTCCAGTTAGATACCTAAAATTGGCATCCTTTCAGGCTTCAGCGAAATGACTCGCTTGTGCCTACTAGCACTATACATCTTGCAAAATAAGCGAGTCTTATACTGGCAGATGTCAGCGAAACATGTAATACGTTGATACTTGATATGGTTTTAAAGGGGAAAAAAACATCTAAATAGTAACTGAAGGAAAGAACAGGAAGACAAGTAAACCCTCTGTGGGGAGACGCTGTCTAGTCCCCTCCAAGTTACGTTTAACTTCTTTTCCTGACTAAAAGCATTGCAAATTGGAGTTTGTCATGCAAAAACACTGATACAGAAGTACCTGCGCTGAAACATTTTGAAGAGGGAGATGGAGGGAGGGAAAGGGGTTAACAGAGGAGAGGAACAGGAAAAGAGATACCTCTTGCACTTACGTTTTAATTCATGTAAAATGTTCCCTTCCTAGGTGTACTAGTGGACACAACGCAGAACTACAGGTCAGCTTTCTATTCCTGCGCTGCTGGCATGATCCTCGGTAGTGTGTTCCTGGCCTTTGTCAGACCATGCAAAACAGGACTGTGTCAAAATCGGAAGCTGAACTTGGAGGAAAACACGTCAGAAGCTCCAGTAAATTTACCAGATGACTTTATTGAAACAGATATTGGGAAAGTAGATGATTCAGGAAAAGGCTCTGAAAGCATGGCCTAAAAAAAAAAAAAAAAAAGCTGTCCTCCTTAACCTCCTAGATGCTGTGTAAGACCGGGAAGGGAAATGGAGTCAGCTCCACTCCATATTTTAAAATTCCACTCTAAAGGGAATGCAAAGTTTTAAGTGTGAACAGTTGCTACCAACATTTTCTTTATACCACCCCTCCCTTTTTTTTTTAATTGCTTTTGATATATTTTTTTAATACCTAGCAATGGCAGTTCCATTTGAAATATGGCCATGTGCTGCAAGCCATGGAAGAATATTTCTGTCCAGCATGAAGATAAGTCTGCTTTCTTAATAGTACCTAACGGTTCTATTGATCAAGTAAAAGACTTTCATAAGGACCTTATGAAAGTAAAAAATGGCTCATACAACTCTACTAACTAGCTCACAGTCTTTGTTTGCCTGCAAGCATCTTGAACGACAATCCCAATTCAATCAACAAAGTAGATATGCTGAAGTAGAGACAGTAACTAAACACGTAACTTGAACTTTTGGGGTTTTCTACCTAAAGAATATGGATTCTAGTTTTTAGATTTCTTTTTTTGGATGGTTCAAGGGGTGGGGAAGGGGATAGACTGAATAGCTGATTTATGACATTGTTAATGGTGGGGTTCTGGGTCTTTTTTTTTAATTAACTTGAACTCCATCAATGCTGGGAAGTTGGAGATTATCACTTTTTTTTTTTTTTTTTTAATGGCCAGTTATTGCTGCAGAGAGAGAGTTGGGGCGGGGGGGATTTTTTTCTCTCCATACAAGCGTCCTTGGAAATGTTTCCTGTTAGATCAGATATATTGTCTTTTAATTTAAACTAGTATTTATTTTAAATTATTTGGAGGTTGTTAAAAGCTGTCAAATAATTTTGTATTGGAGAAGAAAAATAATCCTGTGGCTTAGCAAAAAAGCCATTTTACCTCTTCGTACCAATTCTTTCAATGCCTATCACAAACTTAATTTCTTTCCGTCTTTCTTTTTTGTTTTAAGCCTAGGTTGTAGTGACTGCTGTCTGTTTTTAATAGATAAGCCTTACACAACCCATGCTCTTTGAGAGAGGGGAAAAAAAGAGAGAACAACTGCTGGATAGCAACTTGCATATTCAGTGCATCTTTCCGTAGGTTGTGGGTTTCAGGTCCTCAGGTACTGTAAACTGACAGCTCTGACCTAGGTAGAATTACAATAGCTGAGGATCTGGTCCTGTATGTTTAGTATCTAAACCTATTTGCAAATTTTTCAATTACTGCTGCACACAAATCCCTGCAGCACTACTGAATTCACACCAATAAAAATCGCTGCAGCTAACATGAGGCAGCAAAGGCACTTGTCCTCACAGGTTGCAAATAACAGCTTACATCCTTTATAATATGAAGGATGTTTTCTTAAGCTACTATAGGCATCGAATAACTGGTCTTAAATGCAAAGACAATTGTCAGTCTCTTATTCCTACTGAACTCATTGAGTATTTTACTATTTAGTTTTGTGAGCACAAAGTTGGGCTCTTTGTGCATTTCCCAATTTAGCCTGATTACGTGTAAAGAAGGGAACTGTAAAAGACAGCATACTGGCTGTTCATTCACTTTATTTTTAGTTGATTCCTACTCCAGGGGCGCATCAACAGGTCACCCTATGACAACGTAGTGATGTGCCATGCCGCTGTATGCTGTGCTACAGCAACGTAGCAACCACGTGATTGCCAGCTATGTCACCGTAGCGGCATGCTTCCCGGATACAGTGTACCCCTATGGTGACGTAGCGGGAAAATCTAAGCATGCACCACCCATACTACGCCATGCTTTAGTATGAAGCAACGTCGCTGTACACTGATGTGTAGATGCGCCCATGGTGACACAAGCTTTCTTGCCCCATCTTTATGCATCTCTATGCCACTAAGCAACTCAGGGGGACAAAAAAAGTCTGTTTTGGTTGTGAGTACACACACCTTGAAAAATATTTCTGTGTTTTAAATGGAAGTGGCATTGTCCATTAACCGCTATGTTACCATGTCTGTGTATTTTACCAGCCATAGAAATGTGGGACAATCTGTAAATTCTCTTTTTGGGAAGGTGCTTTTGGGTTTTTTAAATTGTCTTAGATGTCCAAAAAGAAACAGGCACTCCTGCAACAAGTGGCTATTGCAATTCCTTGTCACTGCCTGAGAACTATCATGATCATGCTGCAGCTCTGTGTCCTTTATATGCCTTCAGCACTTTATCATACACAGCAGAACCTCGCTAAGTTGCACCAATGACTGGAAGACCCATTGTAGGTTGCTAGATTTTTTTTGTGAATAACTAAAGAACAAATATGGCAACAAACATGTACTTATTTATTTTTTTAAGTGTAGCTAATTTTAAATTATGATACTTCAAGCATGCTGGTCAGTGTTCTGTAGAATAACTATAAAAATTAATGAAGTCTTAATAATAAGAGACCTCACTACAGCACTTTGCTTAGAAGTGGACGAGGCTGCAGGTTCTTTGTATGAGTGTGTGTACGTTACCTGTTCTGCAGATTAACGAGGTTCTACTGTCTCTTTTTATGAGGATTTCCAATACAGATTAAATGTGTGCGACTGACTGCACAGGGAGGTTCCAGTTTCTGTACATACAGTAATAGCAAGAGCAGGCGAGCGTATGAGTGTGTGTGCACGCACAAAAGACCCAGAAGCAGGCTTTAATGTGTTCAAAACAGGATTTGCTAGTTTGTTCTGTAATATATTTCGTGAACTCCTGGAAGTGTCACAAAACACTGAGTTTTGCAATAAATTTTTTTTCATAAAAAACTTCTCAGATCTCGTGAGATTTTTTTTTTCCCCCCACCCCAAACCAGTGTGGCATCTAGTTGGCAAAAAAACCAAAACCACGATACACCTTTTAGTTATGACTGAAAGCCTTGATTGTCAGAACTCCCTTTTCAGAAGGGTTTTCAGTGATTGATCTTCCTTGCACACCGCTTTCCCACACTCAAGTATCATGTTGCCATTCCTGGAATGAGCAACCATGAGCTCTCTTACAGTAACTACCTGCGTGCTGGCAGATTAACGCTGCCCATAAATGAACACTGGTAGTCTGAGGAAACTCTTACCAGCATAGTTCTTGGCATAAATCAATCCTCATTCTGATAGATAACTGTACTAGCAATATGTTTTTAGGCACCACTGTAGAGAGTCTATAACTTTTGTGAACAGCAGGACCATCATGTTAGACATCAAAGTTGCTGTTCGGTGCATTCCCAACCATTTTACTCTTAGTTGCACAGGGCAATATCCATTGAGCCACCCTAACTCTTCTTCGTTCCTGTTCTATTAACAAAAACCAAGTCTTCCATTTTGCTATCCAGGCAATAGCTTGTTACCATTACAGAGGCTATCAGGAAATGTTACTGTCACTTTATTCAAAGTACCACTGCTCTTCTGCTGGGCAGCTGTCAGTTTGTTAAGAGAAGAAACTATTTATCTGTATGTTAGGGTGTGACTTGGTTTCTTTACCATCCTGGAACAGAAGTGGTTACCAACAGCTGGTGTCTCCTCCTGCGAGGCATTCCCCTCAACACCAGTACTTCATCCCTTCAAATCAGGGCACTTCTGCAATTACTTCTTTTAACTATGATGGTATAAAGTAAGTTCTCTCAAACTTATCTAGTCAATCAGGCTCATGTCTGCCAAATACAGATGAAGGCAGTTGCATAGGGCAACTTTTAAGAACCTTTCTGTATGATGCATCTTTACTGCCTTCTTCATGTATATAGGTCTTCCAATTTTTTTTAAGCTGTCTATTGTTGGACGAGTTGGAAGGAAGTAGTTGAAAGGTTTGGGAGGTTTTCAACAAAGAACTTATTTCCAAAGTATCTTAGCTAAATGGGCATTCATAAGTCAGTAACAACTTCCTATTAGATGTTACCTTGATCCCTGGTCTTGATCTACCAGGGATCAAGTTGGTCAAAATAGGCAAAACCTGAACTTCAAAAAGTTCCCACTTTTTTATTTTATTTTATTTTTTTTGGCTTGCAGAGACTGGAAAGGAGGAGAGCTTTCAGGCCTTATTTTTCCTGTCTGAAAAGAAAATCCAAGGCCAATTTTTCCCCTTTGAAAATTTACCAACATAGGAACTTAAGACAATTCTAACTTAATTTTAGCTTGTTCATTAAAAGAGAAAAAAACCCAACAAATTATAGTAATAACCTACATGGGGAAAAGTCTGGGAGGACAGATACTAATCTGTGACTTCTTGCAGCACAGCTAAAGGATGCCACATCTCAACCATCCATCCCTTATTTTACAGAGTAATTAATTATTCATTTCTTCTCCAGCACCACAAGATAGTGCCCCTAGTTTTTACTGAAATGTTGCATTAAAAACAAGTGCATTCTATTCTTTTAATAAGGTTTTGCCTGCAATAATTACTTAGGGCAAATCATGGCTCATCTGTACTTTCAGTGCAGAAACTGAAGACATCGGGGTTTGGGAAGCTTCCAGTATGGGATAAAGTGGGGAAGAGTTCCCTCTAGTGTGCTATGCCCATAGGAGGCACAGGAAAGATTCACAGAACTTGGATGCTGTCAATTTGAACATCCACCTGCATCCAAAAATGTTGAAGCTACTATTGTTTTTGAGTGCCCTCTATGATTACTATGGCAAAAGAAATTCCCCTCCTGTTTCGCTGCTTTATTCACAACCTAAACACGGTATTTAAAGAGTCTGGCTGCCAGGTCATACAGATTTTTAGGGCGTGCTCTCAGAAAACTGCTTCTCAAATTTCCTTAAGTCAGCATGAATAAAATCAGCTATGAAGTCCAACACTGGAGCTAGCAAGTTGCATTTGTAACAAGTCATTATAGTGAGCAAAACTGAGTGACAGTCCAGGACTTTCTTACAGGGAAACACGTTATTCTAAATCATTGGTTTTGGCACAGAAGCCACAGCCATAAACACCAGGTTTATTACACACACACATCTCCAGAGGACAGATTCAAAGAGGATGATTTTCTTTACTTTCACCTCCATCAAAACGCAGCTGACACCACTGCCCTTCGTCGTTGCACCCTGCCCAACCGCTGCCGCTTGCCGCGGTCCCATCAGACAGCATAGCTGAGAGACAAAACCACCTTGAGGATGGACGTGAGTCTGGAAACAAATCATCTGAACATTTTCTGGACATTTAGAGAAGCTGTGCTTCCCCAGCGATTCCCCATACACAGCTTCCGCAGTCATTTTCTTGCCCCTCTGCTTCTCGTCCCCCAAACTGAACAGTGCAGAGGAGCACCTGCCTTTTATAGTTTTTAACATATTCTTGCCAGCTCAAGGTCATCAAAACAAAGCCTTTGAAATGCTGTAAAGGAAATCAATGTTTCACTTCTCATCATTAAGGTTGTTGGTTCCTTTTTTGTACCACGCTTAGAGCCAGGTTTTACTAGGTCCCAAAATGGCTCCAGGAGAACTAAGATCCTTCCGATTTCGCAGAAGCATAGATCGTAGAAGATGAGGGTTGGAAGGGGACCTCAGGAGGTCACATTAGTCCCTGCTCAAAGCAGGACCAGCCCCAACTACATCATCCCAGACAAGGCTTTGTCTAGCCAGGTCTTAACCTCCAGGGATGATGCTACCACCACCACCTCTCTGGGTAACTTGTTCCAGTGTTTTACTACCTTCCTACTGAGAAAATTCTTCCTAACATCTATCCTAAACTTCCTTTGCTGCAACTTGAGACCATTGCTCCTTGTTCTGTCAACTTATATAACTGTAGCTGCATTTCCTGTATTGCAGCTCTCCTAGCCAGGAAAAAGTGGATGAGGACGGCTGGGGGCCCTGGTTCCACACTAGCAACCCACAGAGTTGGCTAGCCATACATGCAGAGTCTAGTTTAATTGCATTACGCATAGAGAAATGCCTTAATTTCTTAACACCTTCTAGATAGCAATGGGCAGGACGCTGATATGGGAAAACCTGCAACAGGTACACTGAGGACAAGTGGAGCCCCTTGCATCTGGTTAGCACACTCAGTAGCTTTGGCCACCTCTGTAAGAGCTGATAAGGTGAACAACCAGCTGACAGGAGCTTCAGCATGGCACCCCTATCGCAGTTCTGCACCTGGCCCCAACACCACTGAAAATGCTGCTCCCTCGGATGACCGACCTTTCAGGCAGAAGGAAAAGAAAGAAGAAGAGTGGGGAGGTCAGTGGAGCGAAGACACAGAGAATGCCTGGCAGGGCAGGAGAATATGGCGGAGCTGCCAATTTAAGGGGTAAGAGGGGATGGGACCCCTGGTAATAGCAAATGAGCCATTGGGAGAAACAGGAAACAGAGAGGTGCACATCCCCGGGCAGTGAAGACAATGACATAGGCAAGAGGGAAATGGAAGGCATGTGGAGCTCTGGCAGGGGGTAACCTGGGACCCTTGATGGGGAGAGGGAGAGATACCCATAGAGGCACTGGCAGATGCAGATGGGGGAGCTGGAAATAGAGTCAGTTCCTGAAACTGTGGAGACAGAAGTTGGCATAAAAGGGAGCTTTGGGTACAGCATGGAGGGCTCTACGCAGCCTGGCGTGTCCAGTGAGCTCGGCCTGGGGAGCAGTAAAAGCTGCAACCCCCTAGCATAGCATCCCTTAGGACTCTCACAGGCAATATTTTGGGACTAACCTACACAAGCATCTATCCTGACTTTTCCCTGAGGTCTGACTTTTGGTATGAAGCCAAATCCCATTCGCCTTTAACAGATACAACTCCCTTTGAAGTCACTGTGAATGCTACAGGCAGGACTTGGTCCTTAGGGTGTTTGCACATAGCATGGGGGCCTTCCTGCTCTCTCTGCCGGCTCCCTTGGTCATGGCTGATACCAACTGACTGGGGATAGTGTTATCAATGGAAAATTTCTTCTTACTATGCATTTAGAGGAAGCTTTTCCATGGGACATCAGTTGATCTCTGGATTCCCAGAGTTTTCAGCACGACCATCCTCTCCGGCTTCAACCATTTTGCAAAAAGAGAAAGCTCTCTCATGGGAAATCAAGAGGTAGCAGAGTCTGGAAGGTAGGGATTGCCCCTGGTTGAAAGAGATGGTCTGTCAATGGAAACCCACAGTAGGCATCCCTATATCTATGAATCCCTTCCAACTGCAAAGAGACTCAAGCCCCAAGACACCTCCCCTCCTCATTCGACTTCACAGGCCTGAGATTATTGAGCATATCAGTGCCCTCTGGCAGGAATGGGTTGTTCTCACGGTGGGCCATACCGCTGGTTCTGGCTGGCTACTGCGGACAATTTCACATGATGCTTGATCTTCATTTTAAACAAGCACCCAGATGGCACAGTAAAGGGCGCACAGTTCACCTACAGAATAAATAACAGGGCAATTCCTGCAGCATATCATAAAGGTTTGCTTCTGGCATTCTCACTCGAGCAAAACTCCCACTGAAGTCTATTAAAGTTGCCTGGGTAAAGCTTGCAGAGTGCGACAAGTCACAGAAATCCTTCCCTTAGGATGCTCCTGTCACTAGGTTCTTTTCCTGTGCTGGTCATGCAATTTTTTGTGACGTCCTGCACTGCATCAGCAACTGGCCAGAAGCCCAAGGGTTACCAGTAAGGGCTTGTTTGCCTAGATGGAGAAGTCACCCAGCAGAGCCTGTGCAATAGCTATTGCACCTCCTCATGTGGGAACACAGACACTCCAGCACCAGTGTCCTCAAAGATGGGTACTGACAGTTATCGTGCTTTACACTCACCTGGTTTGCAAATGCCCCCCTAGTCAGATGAGCCACAAAACCAAATCCTGCCCTCACCATCCCCAGCCGTGTGCCAAGGTGGAGGGAGGAGCAATGCAAGTCTCACATGGAGCTCCTGTCATCTCGGCAGTGCAGGGCCGGCAGGCTCAGGAAGTCACAGGGAGAAGGCAGAGGAGGGTGTATTTTACTGCTCCTCTGCAAAGCAGTAAGATGCTGCCCAGGCCAGTATCTGCCCTGCACTGCAGCGCATGCACTAGGAGTTGGCAATACATACAGATCGGCATGCCATCCCCTGCTTAACAGAGAGGTGGCCAGGATGGTACAAGAGCCGGGCCTACCTCTTGAGAGCTATGTAGGTTTTGTGCCCGACTGCTAGGCTACTCCCCGCTGGCCTCTCCCCACACAAGGGCAACCACATCAGATCGAGCAGGATCTAAATTCTAAGTTATACATATAGCAGCAAACTAGATCCCCATGACCGCCCCACACGCTTGGATTTGTGTTTCTCTCATGCATAATAAGCGTCCTACAAACATTTTGTCATTAATTTATCTGCTGCAACCAAGCCTGTAGTTCTGACTTGCCCCTGCATTTACTTTCTCAGACTCCGTAAGCCATACAGGGCCTCAGACGATCACACACAACTTTCAGAAACAAAGGACGAAAATGTTCACGGCTAGCTCATGCAAGTGAACTCCATTATTGCAAACGTGGTAAACCAAGCTGTCACGCTATTGCACAGCCTAAGATCACACACACCATGCAGTCAAAATAAAGGTGGGTGCACTCACGGTGCATCGAGCTGCCTGCTGCTGCTGCCTGCCATGTTTTAATCCTCCCTGCCGTACAGTGAGACGAGTGTGTGCGAGTGAGAGCGAGGCCCTGCTCCTCCCACAAGCTTGTTGCACACGAATGGATGGAGCAGAGGTTTGTGACCACATGGTCTTTCACAGCCTGTGCTATTGCAGGACAGAACAACTCGTCTGCTAAGGCAGCGCGCCAGCCTCAGGATTCACGTGGGTACAAGCAGCCATGACAAAGGGGAGCAGTGTTTGCTGCAGCTTCCGAGAGCCCCTGAAGGCGAGCCCCAAAACCTCCTGCCTGCACATGAGCTCTGAAGAAATCTTTCCCCCTGCACCTCCAGCAGGCCTGCAGTGTCTTACACATCTGGAGAGGACGTTTGTGTAGCCCAAGCCTAAAGACAGTACCAAACAAATATTGCTTTTCACACATCTGGAGAGTCCTCTTCAAAAGCGCAGTTTGCTGTTTTCCAAGCACGTCCCTTTTGTGAGGAAGTACATTCCCATGTGTGTTTAAGGCATCTTATCTCCCAAACCACCTCTGCCTGAAAATACTGACTATATACGGCTATATAAATAGCACGCTATGAAGACTGGCATCAGCAAATTTCCTATACACAGTCACCAGTGCACAAGCTGCTTCACCCTGGCAAGGTTTCCCTTCATTCACTCGCACTCATGCATTTTTACTCATTCCCTTCCCTTTCCCAGAAATGCAATGAATTGAACAAACTGCATT